AGATCAGAACCATGGGCTCCGTTTGGGTGGCCATCTCTTGGTGCAGCTCTTGCACCAAGATGAGCCTGCTTAGGAAGCACAGATGATCCACAGCTGCAGTTCAAAAGAACTGCTGGATTTCAGCTCAGGGAGGTAAGGGAACAAGCCTTCTAACTTTTGAGGTTCCCTGACAACTTGCAACACACATTATTTATGCTCCTAATTACTTTGTCCTATATTAGTAATAATACTTTGCCTTTCCATAGTGCCTTTCATCTTGGTATGTAAGTAGATGTTAATGTTAGTCAGTATTAATCCTCTCAGACTATGAAGCTATGCCAGTTTGTCAGATGAAGTTTGGCATGGTGTCTCCAACTGTTACTGTCCTCATCTTTTCAGTAGAATTTTCATCGACACTGAGGGATTCAAATATCTCAAGAGTTCTTTGTCCTGGACTGCGAAATAGTTTATGAAGTAGCTCAGACACAGACCATTTAGAGCTTTGAAAAGCAAGACCAGGTGTTTAATCTGTGGATCTCACCTTGAAGGAAAGAGGCAAAGGCAATCTTGGATTCTGGTCTGTGGTCCCAGGAGCATTGCTGATTTTTATCCAATAACTTTTAATATCAAATGTATATGTAGCAATGAGAGTAAGGAATAGAACTATGAATCAAAACAGAGATTAGAATTAGAATGGTCAGTCACCCGGTGTGGAAGATGGGGATTTGAATAATTCATGAAGGAAATTGAACCTGGTCTCATACACCCTGGGTGAGTGCTCTCACTGAAAGGTGCCAAAAGGGTTTATACTGACTCTTTCTCTATGAATGTCTATGATCAAGGAGGCTGTACATTCACTAGGGATTTTTGTTTTTTAAAAAAACTACCACTCTTATGAATACTGAGTTAGCTCTAGCACTTCTGAAGACAGGAGCCCTATGTCCACTGTCATTGTCCAGTTCTGATCAGGGCAGTTCCAAATGAATTGATTTTAAAAATATGGCACACTGCAGAAGCAGTATATACTTTATATTAGCACTCCCATCATTTATATCACTGGTGATATTAATACAGTGGGAAAATTGGCCAAAATATTCTGGACACTGCACTCTCAAACAGACAAAGTACTCCAGACTGTAGACATATATTTAGAACAAAGAACAGGATGATCAAAGGGAATATAGGCAGAAGTAGTAGAAGACAACCAAAATTGTAATGTTCTCTGTGCCTCCTCGCCCATCCTTTCTGGATCCTCTTTGTGTTCCTATCTTCTTCAAAAGCTTTTCACCTTCCTTTTCTCATCTGCTCTCTTCTGGCATGATTCCACTTTGTGTTCTAATATGGCTGACTGCAGAAGCACCTCAGGGGAGGCAACACAAACCTTTCCTCTATGAATCACAAAGCAGAAGTACTTTAAAATGTTATAGGGAAGAGAAAGAACTCTATTCTCATATATTCTAGCCTAGTTTGCTAAACCCTGAGATGACTATAGCCCTCGTTGTTATCAGCTTTGTGATTTTCTTCAATGCCCTAATCTCTCATTCTATGTACTGCACCCTCTCCATTTTGAAAAGGATTTATTGTCAGTTGAACCTTTCATTATAAATATATTTGAAGAATTAAATTATGGTCAGTGTCAGGGGTTAGAAGCTGTTCTTTAAATATTAAATGAATTCAGCTGTGGTTAGAAATAGATAAAGAGATTCCAAAACTCTTTAACATTTCACATAAGTAGCATCTTAACCCATTCTGATTGCTTTCCTTTTATCATAGTCACTCTAATTTCCCTCCATACATACACACACAGAACACTGAACAGATTGCAAGGTCTGCTTTGAGGGAGAGAATAAACTAGTCAGAGGCCCCCTGGCTTTGAGAGGGATTTAGGGACTTGTGCTCAGGGTTGTGCCTACACACAAAACACCTAAGCCCACTGCATCTAGTTACAGAAGCTACACATTACCTCTCCAGAGTCCAACATGTGGCATCCCTTCAGGCCAGTCTGTTCACAGATATCCCTACAGTCTCACTTTCCCATCATATTACTGTTCAGGACAGCTTGCCAACATCACTCTCTCTGTCTCTCTCTGTTGCACTCTGACTGCTCTGGGCTAGTAGAACTAATTCAGAATCAGCTTTCCCTTCTCCCCTCCAAGCAGCATGCTTTAGCAGTTTATTTTATTGGAGTGGAATTAAACATGAAGCTTTTGTGGCTTCATCGAAAGTGACTTAATTTTAGGGAACTCATACACTCAGAATGAGGAACTAGGGAAAAAACTTTTTGATGTTAAGAGAAGGGATGGAATTAATGGATGTATAATCTTACTAATAAGAAAGAACTATCATCTTCAATCTCCTATTAGCATTCTCACCTAAAATTGATTCAAATAAATTGGTTAGATTTGTCTTCAAGTGGTGAAGTGTGTGGCTGATCTAAATGCCTAGCAATAGTACAGTGTGACAGAATTTGATATCAGGATTTGGGCTAAACCCCTCTCTCCTGTACCTGGAGGCAGCAGTCTCACTGCCCATGAAAATGAAGCACTTCATACCATCTTGCTTGGTCCAAAGTTGATATTTGAGGGTTCCTCAAGATTTTGAGGCCTGGGCCATGTGCAGTTCTTGCATTGTTATAACTATCTTGGTTAAGGCAGTGATTTATTATTATTATTATTATTGATACATAATAGTGCAACAGGTCCAGGGGGATGGAAGTCCTGGCTTTGGAGTTTGAGAGGCACCAGAGAAATGCAAAATAGTCTGGCAACATGCCCAGTAAGGGCTGGAACTGAAATAAACTTACGTGCTGTAGAGAAATAAACCTCTCTGCCTGCCTGTCTCACTGAGGTAGGGCTACAGCCTAAATCCCCCCTTCTGGTTACAAATTTTGGCTGTGGGAAGCACCTGGTCTCCATGGTAAGAGGGTTGCAAATTCCTGAGGGAGGGGGGAGAGCCTGCTTGTCCTCAGTCCTGTATAGCCCTAAACTCTCACCTGAGGCTGCTGATGTTTTGTAAACTGACCAACCAGTGTAAGCCATGGTCTGAGAATACTGGTTTATGGTTGGTCCAAGAAATGAGGTCAGAAAGGTTATTGGAGGACCCCTCCATCTTGGGGTGGATATAGGAGAGGCATCTTGAAACTCAGACACACCATGAAGTGCCTGCCTCCAGGGGAAGCTCAATCAGCCTCTGGATGATGCTCATGAGCAGGAATCCAGATTTTCTGTTTCCCACAGAAAAACAGAGAAAACCACAAATTCCCTGTTTTTATTGGAGAAAATGCTGATTTCCCCTTTTAGCAGAGAAATCCGTGGATTCTCCACTTTTGGAAAGAGCTCTTGCAGGCTGGCACAGCTCCAGCCTGCAAGAGACGATTGCAGAAAGGACAGGAAACCCCCAGCCCTGGCCAGAGGGGGAGGGAGAGGGGGAAGGATGTGGCCTGAGCCTCTGAGTCAGCCAAGGCTCGGCTCAGGCTCGGCTCAGGCTCAGGCTCAGGCTCATCCTGTGCTCCTGAATCCTAGAGGTAAGTGGGGCTTAGGGGTTGTGGACCATGGCTGGGGAAGGGAGCTGCAGTGTGGTGGTGCCACACACATGCCACCCGGCCAGCTGACCAGGGGTGGGGGAGAGGGTGGCTTGCATGTGGCTGGCTGCATGGCTCTGTGGCCACGGCTCTGTAGTGGCAGTGAGGGATGGCGGCTGTGAGGGTCAGGGGGGCTCACATGTGGTGGCCGCTGCCGCTTACCTGTGGAGCCATGTCAGCAGTGATGGCCACTGCTTGCAAAACCTCCCCAGGCTGCCACTGCCACCACGGAGCCATGGGCGCAGAGCTGTGCAGCTGGCTGCAGGGCAGCAGTGTGGTGGTGGCTGATCAGCACGCAGTCACTCTCACACCATCCCATGCTGCACGGCAGCCACAGCTGCCAACACACTGCCACTGCCACCCTGAGGCCAGCCACACAGCTCTGTGGGCATGGCTTTGTGGTGGCAGCAGCGGCATGGGGAGGTTTTACATGCAGTGGCCACCACCGTTGGCACGGCTCCATAGATAAGCAGCAAGGGCCACGACATGCAAGCCCCCCCTGCCCTCCACAGGCACCATCCCTTGCTGCCACTGCAGAGCTGTGGCCATGGAGCTGTGCAAATGGCCACATGCAAGCCCCCGCTCCCCCTCCCCCTCCGGCCAGCTGGCTGGGTGACATGTGTGCAGCCCGCACATGGTGGACACCACCACACCGTGCCGTGCATCACTTGCCCACAAAGCCCTACCCCCCAGCCAGCACACAGCAGCCACCACCCCACACTGCCACAGAGCTGTGCAGCCGGTCACGGGGTATAAGTGGCAGTGCACTGGCTGCTTCCCCCTCCCCCCGCTGCTGGGCAGCACATATGTGGCCCACACACAGTGGCCACTACCACGCTGCCACTGCCATGCCTTGCACCACTTGCCCGCAAAGCTGTGCGGGTGGCCACGGGATGGTAGCACAGGGTGCAGTGGCAGAGTTGTGGTGACGGCCTCTGTGTATGAACCCCCCATCAGGCCAGCGTGCGTGTGGCTCACAGAGTGGCACTCAAGCCCTCAGCCCCGGCCCTGCTCATGGGAGTGGGCACAGGGGGACGTGCCCCCACTTCTTTATCTACCCCCCACAGCACCTTCCCTTTTCCCTGCCCTGCCCCTTCCCCCCACACACACTTACCCACTAGGGTGGGTGTCAGTGTCTGTGTGTGCATCTGTGTCTGCATGTCTGTGCTTGCATGTCTATGGTTCTGGGGGGATGTTGTGAGGGGCATCATAAGGGCTGAGGATGCTGTTGGGGGGGAGTGCAGGGCACCAGCAGCACTGGGGGGAGCTGTGGGGAGCCTTTAATTTTTATCACTGATTTGGGGTTTTTAATCAGAGAATTTGCAATTTTTAATTGGATAAAACCAGGATCCCTGTTCATGAGTAACTTATCTAAATTGTAACTTATCTAGCCAGTAACCTAGACCTAAGTGTTCTAGACTCGTACTCGAAGGGCCCACAAGCCTCATATACTGTCTTGCTCAAGGCTGTTTTCTTTTGTAGTTCCTTTTGGTTTGTATGCCTTCCCCTGTCCCTCCCTCTCTGATCATCAAAGCAAGCCTTATTGTACATGTTTGAGTGGGAATGGGCATGCCTTTGCATTCCCTTGGCTTGGCTGACTTAGGGAGGCTACTTTCTATGCTTCAGGCTACTAGAAGCACTCCAAGATCCCAAGCTCAACAGGGCCTGTGTATCCCAGGTGGCACAAAGCCCAGACAAAGGCCTGAGTCTGGGTGGTGGCAGCAGTAACCCAAACTTGAGGGTGCACTCCAGGAAGGGGGATGACCAGAAATTGGTGCCCCTGGGGAGGCATCCAAAGCCAGGTTTTTGGTGGGCCACACTGAGGTGGGTGTCTTGGTGCAGGAGCGCCCCCTACTGGCCCACCAGACCTGCTACAGGTGCAGCAATGGAGGGTACAGAAAAGCTCTGGTGCTGGTCTTGCTGTCTGGCTTAGGGGTTTGCATGCTGAGCTCCTGGCCAGAAGATTATTAGTTCAAAGCAGTGTCTAGACACAGACCCCCACCTGGGCCATGGGTGTTCAGGAAAAATATTTTAGCCAGGTTCTTTTGCCAAGTGGCTTGTGTTGTGAGCTGGGGACAGGAAGGTTGGGAATTCTAGTCCCAGTCGATGGGCTTGGTTTCAGGACCTCTAGTGAAACTCTTCCAAAGTGGTGCTTAGGGGAGGTCCCTGAAGGAAGAGGGCCAGTGTTGTGCCCATCTTCAAGAAGGGGAGGGGAGAGGACCCAGGCAACTATAGGCTTGGGTCCTTTCTAGGCCAACTAGTCTAACTTCTACCCCAGGGAAAATCCTGGAAAAATTCATCAAGGAGCCTATGTGCAATGCACTTCCAGAAGGTAGGATTCTGAATGACAGCCAGCATGGCTGTATTGTGGGCAAGTCTTGTCTTGCCAATCTAGTCTCCTTCTACGACCAGGTAACTTGCCACCTGGATAAGAGAGAGGAGGTCGACATCATATACCTAGACTTCCAAAAGGCATTTGATCTGGTATCCCATGAAGTTCTCACAAGAAAATTGGAGGATTGTGAGCTTACCTGCTTGACAGTTAGGTGGGTAGGAAGCTGGCTATGGGGTAGGACCCAGAGTTCTAATGAATGGATCTGTGTCATCCTAGGAAGAAGTGGCCAGTGGTGTCCCTCAGGGGTCTGTGCTTGGTCCAGTGTTTTTCAACATCTTTATCAATAATTTGGATGTGGGGATGAAGAGCTCACTGGCAAGGTTCATGGATGATAGTAAATTATGGGGGAGCATGGTCATGCTTGAAAACAGGCTGCAGATACAGGTGGACCTAGACAGGCTGGCAAGTTGGGTGGTTTGGAACCAGATGAAGTTCTACATTGAGAAGTGTAAAGTGCTCTATCTGGGAATTAACAATCTCCAACATACTCATAGGCTCAGTGGTGCCAAACTGACTACCACCATGACTGAAAGAGACCTAGGGGTAAAAATAGACCATAGTATGAACATGAGCTGTTAGTGTGATGCTGTAGCCAGCAGGGCAAACAATACTCTGGCATGCATCAACCAATCCATCTCAAGCAAAACCAAGGAAGTGATTCCTCCTCTACTCAGCATTGGTGAGACCACAACTGGAGTACTGTATGCAGTTCTGGGTGCTGCACTTCAACAACAACATGGAAAAGCATGAGTCCAGAGAAGAGCCACCCGTATGATCAGAGACTTACAAGGCAAGCCATGCATGAAAAGGCTGAGGGACTTGGGTCTCTTCAGCCTAAAAAAAGAGAAGTCTAAAAGGAGACTTAGTAGCAGCTTACCACTATGTCAGGGGAATACTTCAAGGGCTCGGTGAACAACTGTTCACCAGGGCATCCTTGGGGAAAACCTGGAGTAATGGCCACAACTTCTGGAAGCCTATGTCAGGCTTAACACTAGGAAGAACGTATTCACAGTCAAGGTGTCCAGACTGTGGAATAAAATCCCTCTAGAGGTGATGTAATCACCTACCCTGCAATTCTTCAAGAGGAGACTGGATGGTCACTGGACCCCAGTTGTCTTTCCTACCTAGTGCAATGTGGCTGGATCTGATGATTTTGCGAGGTACCTACCAGCCCCTTACAATATATGAATGTATGAGCAGCACATGGCATCACCTGCACAATTCTTAAGCAACTGTTTGTGTAGCTGGAGGGGTGAGGGACAGTGATGTTAGATGCCTGCGCCAGGGACTGGCTACATGAGCTGACACAAAGCAGTGTGAAGAGAGCACTGATAAGCAACATGGCTCCTGCCTGCTCACCATCAGCACTCCTGACAGAGTGCTGCACCAGTTCCATAGAGGGGATACCCAGAAGAGTATCTCCCATGTCCTAGTGTTGATGCCACAGCGAAGAAAAACCCAGGACCTAAGACCTGGTGACCAGAGGGATGAGTGAGTGAGGCTGAAAACCACAGTCTCCCTTTTTTCTGTTTTTTTTACTTCCATTTTTTTCACTGCTTTGGTTGGGATCCCATCTGTATAGCAGGGCACCACAGAACTATGAGGACCCAAGTGCCCTTTGAGGACCCAAGGTGGTCACAGGAACTGGGTAGGCGCCATTCTTATTTTGATGACAGAGTCTTAATGAATTAATGAGCTTTTTGGTTTAAGTTTGAATCCTATGTTTGGACAGACTGTGATCTAAGGACCAGGAATACTTTGAATAAGACTTCAAGTTTCTGGGGTTTTTTTCTTATGTTTGGACTGTTTGATGAGATTATTTATTGATTTACTGTCAACCTGGAACTGACTTATTGTGCCAAGCCATTCCACTTATATAAAAGCATCTGTCAGGGTAGGAGATCATCTGGCTAGGCTGGCTGCATTGATCCCAAACAGTTAGCACCAAGCCACATACCAGCTATAAGTTGCCGTATGGATGGGGTGTAGGGAACGAGGAGCTCCAAGAAATGTCCTTGCCAAGCACACCCAAGGGTGGTCTTTAACACACGAGGAACCTCCCCCAATGTATTGCAAAAGCAAGACATGGCAGGCGAGCAGGAGGAGACCTCCCAGGGGAAGAGTGCTCAATGATCCAGAGTGCCAAACCCAGTAAAGGCCAAAACTTGGGTAACATGGTTCCAAGCTACCCTTGAGCTGTTGGTCTGGCATAGGCAGGCACACAGTTATACC